TCTGCAGTAATTTTAAGATACTCCGACTTATTTTATTTCATTAAAAGCGGTAGATATATTATGCAAAGATATCCCTATTTAACACCACTGTAATCTGTAAATTCAACTCAAACAGGAATACCGTTGATGCTTATTCATTTATGGAAGCTTCGTATTAACAGTTTTAAACAGTAATTTTTAAAACTTGTTTGCATTTTTTTTTACACTTTAAAGAATTCATTTCCAAAAAGGATGCTACGTGCCTGACTACGGCCACGCCCGCCTTTCTTAAATTGGGGTCACTCCTTTAGACCATAGATCTCCATATGCCTTTCTTTTTTCCTAAGTAGGAGACGCAGATTCTCTAGATTAGACTTTTTCATAAAATGGGACCATTAAGGTTGTGGTAATCAGATTGTTTTAGTGATTTATAAGTTTCTATGTTATAAAGGACTGATGAATGAATTTGTAAGTCTTAGTGTGGTTTATTTTTGTTTCATATTTATATTTCATAAATGATGAAAGTATTCTTTTTTAAATTCTGATGTTAGTTTTTGAACGACCAAAATGAGTGAGATTTTTTTTCTAGGTTTTTTTTTTTTTTTTGATCTTGCATTTTATTTTCCACAGTAATTTTATTATTTACAAATTAAATACTTCAGCTTTTTTATGTTCATAAACACATATAATAATATAATAATTCAAAACTTTTTATTTACACTTTTAGTATGCATTTTAAACCAGTAATTTTTAAACATAATTTTCTAATAAAATAATTAATATATTGTCTCTGGAAAACTGAAGAAAGAATTGCATATACATTTATTTTGCAATGGAGCTGATTAAGAAAAACAGTGTAGTGATTTTTTTTTTCTAGGTTTGAAAATAAATTTATGATGAATGTCAGCGTTGTAGAAAGAAAGAAAATCATGCAGTGTTTTTTTAACATACATGTTAATTTTAGTACACATACTAAATTTTTTTTAAAACCTGTAATTCATCCTGCTTACTTAAGTAAAAACGTAATGTTTCCGTGAAAGCATGGACTTCTTATTATTCATTAAAATATGTACATGTATTTCGAAAACAACCAAAACAACATAAACAAACCCATGTTTATGTATTACATGTAACTGAATGATTTAGGAAATGACGGTCCTGTTTTCGCTTGATAACTGTTACGCATACGCTGTTTTGAGCTATTTTTAGGTGAAAATCACAAAACAATCACATTGTAAATGTGTAAATTTACAACGATTTATCCTTTATATTTAATTGTGAGCAGGAAAAAAATATGTACCTGCAAATGATAACCCTAAGCTTTGTCAAAAATCTGTAAAAAGGAATGGTTGATACAGAGATATGCAGTACTCATAAAAGTTTCAACAAAGCCGGGTGAATCATTGCATTGTCAACCCACTCTTTTGGGAGTATTAGTTCCTTGTTAAATTTTTCCTGGTTTTAAAATCACACTATATAAACATTTTTCCTATTATCGATTGTACATATTAGGCTACTCACATACCTTTGGATGTGTCTGTTTGTTCTATTGTATTGACAAATCTTATTTATAGACTATGTTGATATACATTTCCTTCGTCCGTCTTCCAGATCTTTATAATCTTGGCCGCCTTCCTCTCTCGATGTGTTATTTAAAGAGGCGTGGTTCATGCTTCAGTAGACAGGCTATCCCATCCGCCTCATGTACAATATGCACCACACTTTTTTTTTAAACCTAAATGTTACAATTAAGGTAGTTCTTTCATTTCATCATCAAATTGTGTTTTAGAACATAAACAAAACTTCGTCACGTGTGACTATTGGATATTAACGTGTAGCGCTGTTTTTTTTTACAGTTGACAGCTTACTTTTACACATGAACGATGTACATCAGCTCTTTGACGATCGATTAAATATTGTTGCTTAATTAAAATAAGGTTATGTCAGAGCGTAAATCAGTTGTCTTTAAAGGAAACGACAACCACCCTACCCTCAACTCCTGGTTTTTACATGTAAGTGCCTGTAACAACATTTGGGGCACTACCTATGACCAAAGGAAAGGTGTTTTTATCTATTATCAATGCTACACCTCCATACAAAATGCAGGTTTAAATGTCAGTGTTAAATTCAGTGATTCTCCGATCCGTTTTTTGTAAACTAGAGTAGTATATAAAGCTGAACGCACTTTTTAAACTTACATGATTTTTTACACAAATTAAGGTCACATTGTTGATATGAGAAATTCTGGGAGGAGGCGACAAAAAGTGATTTCTAACTTACTTTAAGTGACTTAATTAACTTCAAACATAATTCACAGATAATTATTGGTAGGACTTTGGTTCAAAAACCAAGAAATATTAACGTGTAACAGCTCTTCTTAGTTTGATCAAAATTGTGATACCAAAATTATAGCAGTCATGCTTTAGATTCTGTAAGTTATGTACATTGTCTAATGCTCTTGGACGGAAACTTTGAATTCATTAGACAAACTATTCTTTGGTACATTTGTATATGCCAGTCCGAATTTAGCTACTTTTACCCTTTAGTTTAGAGAATTATGAAGGACATACCAATTTAACATAGTTGTTATCATTAAAATCCAACTCAAAATATATATATATTTTTTATTTAAAAATTAAAATTTATATAAACATGATGTCAGTAAATACATGTATCAGTAATAATAAATTCCTTTATTCATACAGAAAAGCATAGTTAGAAACCGATAACTAATAAACATAGTGGTCCTATAACACATACTCACAGAATGATTTATAAAATCACTGCAAAAGTAGATAAGTATAAAGTAATGCTAACATTTGCTCTCTTGTTTCCAAAACATTCTTTAAAGAGCCATTTGTTTTAAATTATAACTTTGGATATAATGACTTTAATGAAGCAAGAGCATTATAGGATCCTGAAAAAATATAACATCATATTTCCCTTAAACATTGAGATTCGGACACTTAAAAGTGATTTGTTCCTTTGCTTAGTATAAAGAAACAGTTTTAATGAATGTCATCTCTCACATTTCGTGTATCTCGGAAGGAGTTTATTGGTTAATTAAAAAAGTTAAGTATATAATAATTTTGAAAAAAGTCAGATAAATACCTCTCCTGTCGTGCAATAGAAACTAATAAATAATATTTATGATGAACGATGAATCATGAAGTACAGGTCAAACATATTTATTCAAAGTTTCTTTGAAAAGACATATATTGAGAAATACTATCAAGGATTTCAATTGCAAAAAAAAAACCCTTTTCCTGTCAAAAATCGTGTTGTATACGTTATTTTGAAAATAATATTCATGAGAGACCCTTTTCTATCAGTTTATGATATATAACAAAATAAGTATCAAATTATAAGCCAATGAATGTTATTTATCTACAGTTTATATACCAGATATATTTTATATTATAAAGGAAACAAAGAATGATTTAGAAACATATATAAACCACCCATCCCACCACCACCCAAATTTAATCTGTAATGATGCTGAAAAGTAGTAATCTTTTAATAAGTTGCAAGTTTGCAATTCCTTCAGACCTCAATATCATTGGTAATTTTCTTCTAAGCGGCTACCAGTGTACCAAAATTGATGTCCATAAATCAAAAGGTTTTCAATACAGATCTATTTTAAGCTGGTAAAGCTTACTAAATGTTATATCACAGAGTAATCAGAGGCTACACAAAATAGTTTAATTTGTTTTTGGGGAAGCCGTACTAAATTTTGGCTGTTGTATCAATGGAAAAACGATTTGTCAACGAAAATCTGAGTAATCTTGGCATAGAATTATTTCTCAGGAGGAACATACATTATCATACATTACTTAACATGCATCTTACAATCTGTAGATGGAAATGCACTTCTGATGTGCCTTCTTTTGTGCGAGTTATACAGAATCAATCTAAAAGAGGGAAATTGGATTGAGAAATACATTGTTTTTGCAGAAAGTTTCAATTTCAAGAAAATTACGACAGAATCCAACTAAGCCAATTAGAAAAATGCAAAAATATAATAGTTTAGAAATATGTTTTCTCATGCATTCTTCAGACATGCCAGATATATACACATCGCAGCTCCTCGATACAACAGGTGAACTGATTGTTCCATCGATTTCTATAAATTGATTGATTTTAAATCTTCATTTCTCAACAAGAAGTCGTAGCGTAATTGATACATTTATGGTCGCGGACACCTAAGCAGGAGACCAGGGTTCGAAACTGGGAATGGGACCAATTTTTTTTTCTTGTATTGATTTTTGTCCTTTTCTTTTTTATCCGGAATTAGATACATTTAATGCTATTATACTGGAAAAAAGTGAAATAAAATTTTTAGGTAAAAAAAAATAAGCCGATTATTCAATAAAAAGATTCAACTGAATGATCACGGAAAGGTCACTGAAATGTATGTGCCATTCAGTCGACTAAATGGTAACTGAATGGTCACGGAAAGGTCACGGAAAAGGGTCTTTTCAGTGACCTTTCAGTGACATTCAGTCGCCATTCAGCCACCATTCAGTCGACGGAATGGTGGTTTTTCATCCTGTGTTTCTTCTTCAGTAAACTCATCAGACCAAAAACAACACTTCAAGGTTAACATTTGATGACACCAGTCAAAGTCACGATGTTCCAGAACACCTACTTGTCAGAAAAAACAACCTGAAGAATTTCATAAAATAAATGAGAAACATAAAAACTTAAATGCTGAAAAATAATTTTATTAGGAGTAGAAATGTTAGAAAGCAAAATTCTTTTACAAGTATCGTCATTCTGTTGTGTACTGAGTTTAGCAAATCGAACACACTCTTGTAATGTACACAGTTTTAATCATTTTTATACCCCCCGCTTGAAAAGCGGGAGGGTATATAGTAATATAGTATACCACTGAATGAAATTTGATGCAACTTTCACAGAATCTTTATTGCATATTGCCATTGTGCACCTCCTATTTCACGTTTGGATCTGACACATATTTTGGGTTTCCCGGCTACAGGAAAACATGGACTTTTTCACCAGTTATAACCATATGGGAGGCGGGGGGTATCATTTAGTGAGCTCATCGCTCACAGTACCTCTAGTTTTTTTTGTAAAACAGGACTAAGCTCTGTTATTGTTTGGTGTTTTGGTTCACTGGTTTCTTCAATCGCGAAAGTCTGCTCACCACATTTGCAAGTACTGACAATATATTGTGTATGTTTTGCTTTTGAACATGTTTACACTTAATTTTCTGGATTATAGCATTAATATTTTTTATTAATACACAAGACATATCGGCATTTTCCATTTCATTCCAAATTCATCATTCACTAGATTGTCTGTATGATGATTAGTTCTAATGCCCTAATCTCTGTGTATGATTTAATGAAGGAAAATTTTGACCCACTCTCCTTATCAAATTCTTTCAAATACTTGTTCAGTGTAGCCAAATCCCTAAATACTGAATACTTTTTTTATTTATGCTTGCATTCTCAAAAGAATTGACTCAGTGGTCATTAACATCTTTGTCTTTTGTTTTAATATCGGACTGTCTCAGATAAATCAAAAGCAATGTTTTAAGTACGATATATGCCTCATACAATTCTGTCTTTAAAAAAATATCAGACAGTTTGAGGTCCGTTAGAAGTGTATTTGGCATTTATCCAACACATAAAGATATAGATGGTAGAAGACTATGTCAGTTTTTATACCCGCACTTTCTAAAGAAAGTTTGGATATATTGTTGTTAATCATGTCCTTCCGTTCGTCTGTCACACTTTCCTTCCCTTAACTCCTCCTACATTTTACACATTAGCCTAATCATCTTTTGTGAGATGGTTAGTGGTGTCATGTAGATGTGCAGTAAGGTTTTGGAATTTTGATTTTGCTCCGAGGGGGCAAATTGGGGTCGAAAAATCTAGTTTTTATGCTAAAAGCCCCGTCTTCCCTGAACTTCTCCTACATTTTACACATAAGCATAATCATCTTTCGGGAGATGGTTAATGGTGTCAAGCAGATGTGCAGTTAGGTTTTGGAATTTTAATTTTGCCCCCGGGGGAGGGGGGTCAAATGGGGGCCGAAAAATAATGTTATTTATGCCAAAAGCCCTGTCTTCCCTGAACTCCTACATTTTACACATAAGCCTGATCTTTTGGGAGATGGTTGGTGGTATCATATAGATGTGCATTAAGGTTTCGGAATTTTAATTTTGCTCCGGGGTCAAATTGGGGTCGAAAAATGACGTTTTTATGCAAAAAGCCCCGTCTTTCCTGAACTCCTACATTTTACAAATTGCCTATATAATCATATTTTGGGAGATGGTTGGTGATGTCATGTAGATTTGCAGTAAAGTTTTGGAATTTTGATTTTTCCTCGGGGGGTCAAATGGGGGTCGAGAAATGACGTGTTTTTTAATGCATAAAGCCCCGTCTTCCCTTTACTCCTCCTTAATTTTACTCAGAATCCTAATCATCTCTTAGGAAAGTTAAATATTTTGAAAATTAGGTAAAATATCAACGTCAAGGGGTAAAAAAGCATTGCTTGCTGGGAAACATCTTGAATTCTAATGAATAGGTAATGTACATGTCAAATGTGAGAGTCATATCTCTTCTCAATCAAAAGTTATAAGAAAATGCAACAATTTTGAAAAGTAGGTTAGACTTCAAGGTCAAGGTCACAGAGTCAAAATTCATGATTTATTAGGACAGGTCTTATCATAGGTAATAATTATATGCATGTATAATATTGATTGCCTTAACTTTTCTCTTATAAAATGGTAAATTTAAAAAAAATATTTTTTTTTGCAAGTAGATCAAACTTCTAGGTCACATGAACAAAATAAAATCATTTAATTAACTCCATGACCCAACTATCATTGCTTTTATTTTGTTTATTTGTTTTCATTTTTTTTCTCCTGCTTGTCAGGTAATTCTGGGCTTGAATTTTTTGATTGAGATGTGAACCCCCCTCCCCACTCAAGAAAAAATTCTGGATCTGCACAGGTAATCACAGCAACTGAATGTCACATTGATAACGGGAAATAATTTAATTCACAATATATGAAATTCGTCTATTGTGGCAAGCGATGATCTCTATGATTCTTTTTTAAACTTTAACCTAATCATTTTGGTTTATTTTACCCCTACTATACTGAAACTTGTACTTACCAACTGTCATAGGTCCTGTCAACTTCATGAAGTATAACCCAATAATAACAGAACATGAATTAATCCAATGCACATCAGACTGCAGCACAAGCTAATGCTACCTCATTCAGCAAACTTTGTTCGATTCCCTCGCCTTATCAGATGAAGATGAAGGAAACGGTCGAGGTGTGCCGAATGGCGTTTTTTTTTAAAATATGATAATGGGTGACGCAACACAATAAGATGTACAAATAAAAGGTGTTTACATGTTAACACGTAAAGTACAAGAACAGATTTTTAATTAATTCATAACAAACGATGTTTTAACATAACTTTTACATCAAGCCTATTCCAAAGAAAAGTATGTGGCGTGTGTTTTTGGTGTCGAAGGGGGGGGGGGTATTAGTAAATTTAAAAAGGTCCTATTATGAACAAAACATTTATCAAAATCAAAAAATCTAATTTATATAATTAATTAAATTCAAACTGGTAATGTTTTAAGCATGTAAAATACATGTAAGAAATTCTGAGTCATATGTCACATGGTCACAGGGACTGAGCATTTCATACTCAATTTGACAAATACATGTAAATTATAGAATTATTTTGACTTTTCCTTGGAAACCGCCCAAGATGTAAGAATGTGTATTTATAGGCAAACACCTTAGTGCGGGTATAACTGTCCCACGACAGTATCTAGTTGGATTGGAACTTGTCTCCAATCCTATTGATATATTGTCAATAAAAACAAAGATATAGATAATAAAATCCAGGGATAGGATAAGTAATATGTAAAATACCATTTTATAGTAAAAGAAATGTAAATTCAATCTCAAACTATTATCCATGAAGGGTATTTTACATTATGTTGTCATTGGAAAATGAATATGATTTTGGTAAAATATTAAGCACTATAAAATATTGCACAATCTTTACATGAATTTGACTTAAAACCATCATGAAACATTTTTTTTCTTATAGATGTGATTCTTGTTGTCAAGTCTATGTTGTCAAATTTTAATATCCACTCAGTTATATTTCACTAATCCTTCTCCTCAAAACACCACCACTGAGTCTTAGAATGGCCTGAAAAGAAATGAGATATATCATATAAAAAGTATAAAAATGGTTTTGTTGACAACTAATATAAAATAGAAACTTTTTTTAAATTAAATAAACAAAGACATTAATTAAGTTAATGTATCTAAAAAGTTTCTTTTATTGTGAAACTACTTTTCAAAACTAAACAGAAAAAAAAACAAAATTACATCAATGAGGAAATAGTTCAAATTTGCAAATAAACTTACATGTAAATACAGAAAGAGTTGTATTAAGCAGATATATATTTTTGCCCTCTTGAAATTTGTTCATTTTTCTTTAATTTGTATAATCTGTTTTGCGTTATTTTCTACTGCGAGACGTACATGTATGCTCCAAAGAAAGGACTACTTTAAAATAATATATTTTTGCCCCCGAATTTTGTTTTTGTTTCTAAGGGATAAGTAAATTTGCGCTAGCTATTTTCTTCTGACAGATATATGCTTTAATATTATTTTATTGCTAGATATTAAAATGGTCCCATATTGTTTTACTTAAGCACTAATCGCTAATGAATGACCTGTCTTACAAGAACAAATAAACGGTTACAGTCGAATTAATCCACAACCCAAATCAGAATTGTCTCATTAAATTTTACACACGGTTAGAATGCATTTAAATTTTATCTACTGATGGACAGCAAAATGACCCTCGACGTATAGTGCTTTACTCACCTTAGAAAGATCAGCCCAGATTATGTTAAAAACATCATCACTTAGGACAGGGCTACTTCCTGGATCATGACAATATTTATTTCTATATAAACGGATTCTTTCTATGTCGTCACTCTCTGTGATGTCCACTATTCTAGGTTCTTTTCCCCATTCATTCCCAGGAGGAGCAATGTCAGAGAAATTTCTCAACAATTTATACATGATGGTAACGTCCAAAGATAAAGATGAAACACCAGTGTTAGATCCACCTTCAAAAAAATATGTAAACATACTTACAGATGTATGTCTGAGATGGATAAAGCAGAAATAAAGGTTTTCCTATTAACTCATACACTGAAATTATCCATAACTTTACATGTACAACCTACATGGGAGTATATCGGGTTTTGAATTTCATTGACAATCATTAGCAAAATGTTTAATTTTTTTAGCTCGTCAAATACACTAATAATATAATCTTTCAGCGCTCTTAATCAACTTCATAAACAGGTCAATATACCGTTAAAATTGTTTTAAAATTAAGATTGCTGTATATTTTGAACTACATGTATATAGTACATTTATTGTAAATGTCTTGTTGTTACAAAGATGGTTTCACTGTCAGCACAAAAACTGAAAAAAAGGGTTTTGTTGTTATGTTGTTGAAAGTTTATTCCTAATTTTATGACTTATGACGTATTGAAACAATTGTAAGTAATTCTCTTTTCTTGGGATTATTCAATTAATTAAATATGCTATTGAAACCCACTGTTAAGATCTTAAATTATTAGATTGTATTTTGAAAAATTATTGAAATGTGCTGTAGTGCATATATTGTATATGAAATCTAAATTAACAAAGAATATAATAGTTTCAAACTTGGTTATTGGCATTTTTGTTTCTTTGCCGTCACAAATTATTCGGATTTTATATTGTTTAACAAACAAAAATGGACACAAATCTTACTCAAAGTATCGAGGCAATGTATTCCTTTTTTCCTGGATAAATCGTTAAAATTAAGCATTTGTGTTATTTCCTGAATTCATGATCCTACGTATGACAGTATGGTTTAAAGAAATATTCAGTGTCTTGAAGTCTGTAGTTATCCCACTAGTTTATAGTATTAAGAGGCCGTGTCAGTAACCATCGAGATTTACATGGAAAGTCAAAAATTTTTAATTTGGCAAAAACCACCCTAAAATATTTGAACAACAACAAAAAACACATTTAAGACAACCTTGTGACCTTGAACTTCCCCAAATGACCTTGAGTCAAGGTCATGACACACTATTAGGTCATTAGCAATCTTTGTATGGAGTAGTAGATTCTAATGTTCCTCTGTAAGAAAGATGTGGACCGTACATGTTTGCACAGCTAGACAGAGGGACGGACGGATAGTCAGACAGACAGACAGGCTGATTCATATATACACCCCCCAAACTTCGTTTACAATGGGCATAATGAGAAGTCGTGTATGTTAAACACAAGACGACCTTATACTTATTCAAATGAAAATAAATCTTAACATCAGCAAGGCTTGTGAAAATGTAGTTTACAGCAACTTTATATTTCAAGTTTTATCTTATTTTACTATCTAAGACCAATCAACTGGTCAAATATCAATGCTCACTGAGAGTATCACAGATATGAACGTAAAACAAGAGTTTTCCATTGAAAATGTGTGTCTCAGGAATGACATATCAAATTTAGACAGACAGATAGACTGATGGTCAGCTAGTCAGACTGACAGACAATGGAGAAGTGATCCCTAAGAGTCCCCTTGCTATGCAGGCAACACAACTATGCACCATTACAGCATATCTTGTACCTGATTCTGAGACTGAATTTTTTCTGAAGTGTACAGTCAAATATTTTACAGAAATATTTTGCTAAAAATAATAATATATTGTATAAGTGGAAATTTTAGCGAGATGCAAATTTAGTGATTTCTACCAAAGTCTGGTATTTTATTTTTAGCCAGAAGTAATTTTAGTGATTTTAAAATGTTTATTAAAGAAGCTATTACAAATAATAAGACATTAATTTTTAGCAATATTCAATTTTAGCGATGTCAGCACCCTCTCTAATAATGCCAAAATTAAATCCTCGCTAAAAATTCTACTTATACAGTATGTTCTTCAAAGTACATCTATGCACAGTAAACAAGAAGTATGACACTTTTGATTTTAGATATGATCTATTTTAACCAACTAGAGCTAGAGTAATATAATCCAAGTGTTGTTCAGAGACAGATGGACAAACAAACAGGGTGATTCCTATATCCCCCTTCCAAAAACTTTGATATCAAACTCTTAAACTTAGTAAGAAATGATTTTAGTTCACTGCTTTAAGAGCCATATCAGAAATCTGATTCAAATTGTTCATCTTCCCTTCATCTGTTAAGTCATTTTCTTCACTTCAGTGTTAACCCTCTGCCTTTTCACCAATGGCATCAAGATACATAATCAAGGTTTTCCTTCTATGTAATGGTCTATCTTCATGCTCATGAGAATCCTGGCATTCAGATGCCTTTCACAAGGTGTTGGGAAAAGTTGTCGTTTGAAGTTGATTCCACCTACAAAAGAAAGATGCAAAATCAATCGAACTAACAACTTCATTTAAAACAAGTTCATTTTGACACAAATGTTACTCAAGCTGAGACAGTGTTTCACAGCCCTGCGCCAAAGTCACACCTTCAAAGTCATGGAATTTTCAGGTCTGTATTTCTATATGCCTCATGGAACAGCTTCATACTTGGCGTACAATGCTCCTAATGATAAGGTGGTGTGCCATGACCCTAACTCAATGTCAAACTTCAATGTTAAGGTCACAGTAGACTTCAATGATATTGTCTTATCTGATATGCATTTCATACCTGCCTCAAAAGCTCAGCTTACATGACACAAATGTGCCTCATGATATCAGTCTTAAACAACCTTTGACAGAAGACCAGGTGAGCAATATGGGCCCATTTTAGGCTTCCTGTCTGGGTTTAAAATATGAAGTTCATAGGTCAAATGATTTAAGTTATTGAGTCACAATCTTTTCAAGTTTGAAGTTTCAAGACATATAGCATTTGAGATATCTCTCGAGAAAGAAATGGATGAACAAAGTGATCACCGGTACTCTTTGACCCTGGGCTCTTATGAACAAGCTGATGCTCAAAGTAGTTCTAAACAATTCAGTACATGTAAAAAATTCAGTACAAACCTCTATTTGTTCCATATGCATTAAATCTGATTGTACTTCATGGTTATTTGGTAGATCACATAGCAACTCATCATCATCATGATTCTCCTGAAAGTATTTCATATCTGTTTACAAATTTACATGATCCTACTGCATATAGTTGCTGATTCTTTATAATAAACAATCTGATGCTAAAAGTAATTTAAAGCAAGATAAGTTTGTGAAACAGTATGCCCCCAGTGTCAACAAATATAGAAAAGCTAGTTTAAGCAAAAAGATCAAGGTCTAAAGGTTACTGACGTTGGTGTAATTTAAAAGAATTTAATTAGTGGATTATGTATACCAAATATGATCTCAGAGTTCAAAAGTCATGGTAAAGGTTAAAGCTGACAACAAATAGACAGAAAGGACAAAAATATGTTCATGCTCTTTGGGCATAATAATTTAGTACATGTAAAAATTTCAATACAAACCTTTATTTGTTCCACACTAACTGGATCTGCTTGTACTTCATGGTTATTTGGTAGTTCACATTGCAACTGATTACCATCATGATTCTCCTGATAATTTTTTAGACCTGTTTACAAACTTACTTGAGCCTATAGCATATATAGTGACTGGGATATGATATAAGACATTAAACTGGACAAAGGGGATACTCCAATTTAGTCTCACATTTTCAGAATTATTCATATTCAGAAATTGTGCCAAACCTGATCAAGGGCTTAGGAGGAATAGCACCCCACCCACTCCTTACTTTTTTGGGAAGTCAAAATTTCCTTTAGTTAAAATTTTTAAATCCTGGTTCCCCTCCCCTCCACTTTAAGGGCCAGGAGCAAATTTTGAAACGAGAGTTGAGTCTGTTATCCTATTTTCCCTTCCCCTTTTAGAATCAATATTAGCAACCTCAAGTTTTGTCATCTTGTTTTAGTGTAGCTGCAGAACTGTAGCTCTCCGAAAAAAATATATATTGATACACCTGAGATAATGAGGTATAGCGGGTATGGCTATGAATTTTATGAAATATTGTTTGAAATATTACTTATGAAAAAGAACACTAATATGCAGACATACACGAGTGGAAATATTCCAATTTGACCTAATCAGTGATTGATGAATATGCTCTAAATAATAAAGTCTGAAATATCTGTCATTTTTCAGTTTTTCATTTTCTTAAATATTTTCTGTGCCAGGAAAACGTCAGAACCAGCGCCATTACGAAAACTAGAAATTTTGCCATTTCCGGTCAGAGTTGTTTTCCCATACCTGGGAACCGCATTTGTCACAATTTATAAATGGCACAGTGCTTTTAGTACTTGACAATATCAATGAGAATAAAATAATCACTCATCATTTCGATACAGGACTTGAAGATCTATATATTTTTTAATTTGTCTGTTTGTAAACACACGAAATGAAAACAAATCTCTACAGTCAGAGAAAATGTTTCCATAGGATCATATATTTACAAACAAACCATAAAAACTATATTGGTAAGTACTACAGGCATTGTACTATTGATAAATTGTGAGTTTGACAAGTAATTGCAAGTATCGACAATACACCCGAGAATGCCGCCTCTGCTTGGAATTCCCAGTTTTCGTAAAGGCGTCGGTTCTGGCGTTTTCCCCGCACGTAAAATATAGAAATAGTTAAAAAGCCAGGAAAACGTCAGATATTTCGGACTATAAATAGTACTTTTCAGTCACCTACAAACTCTTGATGCTGTCATGTCCTCTGTAACCGCACAAGACCTGCTTTATACATTTTTACATGGTGTTTTTCTTCTCCGACTTCTGCTACAACAGCAACTTTCTGTTCTTTATCAGCAGGAGAGTTCCACAAAAGGGAGATAATCGTTCACGCGTTTTCATATTTGTGGTACATTCTAAATCAAATTATTTGCTATAGAGTACCCAACTAACATTTTTTATTATTGGACTTATAACTTCAAATCTCGTAGTTTCTATTGCATGTAAGGTTATGATAGAGTTTGGTTGCGTTTTCGTGTAAAATATTTATAAAAATCATGTTGATTTTACAGCATTTGGTAGAAACAAAGCAAAGTAGGCCCCAATGCTTTAAAATAAACATGGGAAAAATTAGATCTCCCATATATATTGAAATTAAGAAAAACATAGTTTGATTCTGTTATTAATTTTGACAGGGTTATCAATAATCAAATTTCACACTTTTCAAGCATTAAAATCACCGTTGCTATGGTAACAAGGAAGATGTGACCCAAATAACTCATGTTTGATAGGACATTCATCTATACTTCCATGCACCCAAATATTAAAGCAAAATATTTTTTTCACATTCCACTCACTTTATATACAATACTCGATGGTTACTGACACGGCCTCTTAATTCAATTATATGTTTCTCTATCATACTTTGATTTGAGTCATTATGTATATAGTCCCTACTATCTTTGGTAACCTTAAATTCATTCAGACTTATACTTTCACATTCTTGTTTGGATACAAAGAAATGCTTCATATATTTTATTGGTAGATTTTTCAGAAATACTTTCATTCCCGGTTTATTTTTTTTGCTTAATCTTTTATCCAATACTAAAGGGATACTTTGTTATGGAATTAGGGAGTGTTGTTCTTATTTTACGTCATTAGTTATATACTGTAAAATTACAACTTTTTGAGGGTAAAAGTTTCTTGGTTTAAGAAAAAAGTTATAATTTTTTCGTTGTTAAATGAGATACATTATGCAGTGCATAGTACATTTTTTTTATCATAACAAAAATCTTTAACAGACTTTAATATTTCTTTATGCAATGAAATATTTTAAGAAGCATAACGTTTATCATTAAAGAAAGAAAACCAATAAGTACCTTGCTTTGGGAAGAGAATCTCCAGTTGAGGTGGTAGGAATCGGAACCGCCCTCTTCTCAGGTCTGTTTCATTGTCTTTCAGAGTCTTTTCTAAATCCTCTTTTGGGAAGAATTTATCGAAGCAGATTCTTACTGCATCAGTTCCAACTTGTAACAACTTTAATATCTTGGCAATATTATCTATATAATAGAAATATAGCCCAAGTATATTGATTTATAACAATATAGTAAATAAGAATTCCATGATGATAGTAAATTAAAAAGAAGAAATCATTTCAATCTTTCTCCAACATGTCGAATAAAAAAACCTGCAATAAAAGGAATTTACTTAATCTTTCAGGATGAGAAAAAGCATTACCTGACCCTCATATAAAAAAACTTCTGATCAATAATCAGTAAAAGATTGTTCTTCAAGCTTACTTTTTATGTAAATGTTTGAGGTTGATTTTCTCTTATATACGTGCATTTCAATTTGTATACAGGATATACAAGAAATAAAGGAAGTGTGTGGGGTCTGACAAGTGATTTAGTTTTAATGGATTTATCTATAGGTCACTTCAATGCAGTGCAAACTATTAACAAGTTTCCTTTTTACATACATATATTCGTGCATGACAAAAACATATTCATTGATTGGAAATATTAATATGTACATCAAAACTAGTCCTTAATATCGTATAACGTGTGCTATGTTAAATCATGGAAAATGTAAAAAGAATTTAATCTCAGATTTAGTTGATGTACCTTTTTGATGTGACTCACTTGGTCCAGCACCCCCTAATGGTGAACTTTTAGATATACTTTTATCTTCCGAAGGCTCAGCTTCATCATCATGTACCTTTAACATGAAAATAATGACACTAAAACTGGTGTGCCCATTATGAATGATCATTGAAGATTTAAAAAATTCTACAAATAAAATTTCCTGAATGCAAAATACTGAAACGATACACTTGTTTAACTTTCACATTGTATATGTATTTCTTGCAATACAAATGATTGTTTATGTGAAAACAATAAGTTTTCATTTAAAATGTCCAACCGCTGGATTGCTGCTCAAAATTTTCACTTCTTGTATTGAAAAAAGTTTATATACATACACATATATAAAATGCTAAAAAAGTGACCCCACTTTAAAAAAAAATCTAAAACGCTTACAAGAACCTCCCCACTCAGTATAGGAATTATGGTTTGAACAAGTATAAAATTTATCTAAATTGCAAAATAATGTTATATATTTCACTAAAAAGCTGTGATTATCTTCTTAATAAAACATCTTTTAAAGAATATTCCTTATAAACCTATTACTTTTTAATATCACCAATTTCTTTATTTTAGTAAAGTAATTTAATTACTTGTATTTTCTATCAATGAAGATCTTTATTTATTTTGTAAAAAAATATCCTCTTTTGTCAAAATTAAAATTGTTGTACTAATCTTTTGGACCATTATTTGAAACACTTATTCTACAATTGATTTGAATGCTGCACATATTGAAAGGTTTATGATGTTTAATTGAATTGACTGAAGTCTTTAAAATACAAACAGTAACCAAGTAGCCAACTGAAGACATATATGATCCAATATAATAAACTTTTACAGTAACTAGATTTTCCAGTAACATTTCTTTTCTTTGTGGAAAGAACAACTACTACAATAAAATACACGTACCTTTGTAAAATATTTCGTGATATTCTTTGAGTTGATTTTGTGCTTTCTCCCTATTGGACAGGAAGGACACTGAAAGGTTGCCTTTGTAAATTCTGATTCATTGATCACAAAACTTTCTTGGCTATCACAAAATCCTGTAGTTTTGCATTTAAACCCAAGTGTAAATAAAAAGTCAGTCTGGAAAGTTCTGGAAAGAACATTAAGCATACGGTCTATTTCTGCCTTAATTTCCTGGCATTTTGAAATCTCAACTTCGCCTTCAATAGCAAAAACCTGTAACTGAATCTCCCTGGTAGTCATTCCAAGCAATATGTTATGTTCCTTAAACAAGAAAACGGCTGCTGTTTGGTATATACATAGTCTATCTCTCTCTGTCACAATTTCCCAGGGAATTTGCGAACATGTTGCTACAAGACGATGAAAAATTCCAGCAGGAAGAACATCAAACGTGTAGCAGAGGATGGAAGAGGCAGGGTATGATGAAAAGCAGTCTGCAGAAAATGGTCTCTTGTTCATACAGGGAACATACCATTTGTTGTCATCCAATTTTGCTAATAATCCTAGCTTCTCCATGTAGAGCAAGGCATTTGTTTTGTGTTCACTGAAATCTATTCCCTTCATTTCCCATATAGCTGTAAGCAAAGTGTCATTTAATTCTCCAGTTTGATCAAATTTTTTCCAGTCCGATGCAAACCTACATAAATCCTTTTCTGCATGATTTCTATCTGTTATTACATTTTTAAATAAAGAACTATATGCGGTATTAACCAACATTTGCCCCCCAAATTCAAACTTTGATGGAGTAATATTTAATTAATTCCTTAAACAGGGGAGTATATGCTGACTTCAAAGCACTGAAAAATTTCATAAGTAATGACGTCATATGTACGTAATGACGTCACAAATATGACGTAAATTTCAGTTTTTTATGAATTTTGCAGAAAAATGTACATATTTCGTCGATATTTTAAATAAAAGTCACCGAGCGCATGTGTGTTCAGGATTAATATTTTGATATAATGTGCAGAATGATAATATCAATGAAATATGTCAATATTGTTCCTGAACACACATGCGCTCTATAAATTCTAAAGCTTAAATTGTTGAAATTTTGTCCATTTTGTCCTCTTTCTGAAAAAGGATATAAAATCGGACTAGTTTGTGACGTCATAAAAACAGAAATTGTGAATACACTGCTCTGGAACTATAATATTTTCTTTTAACTTATATTTCTCGTACAATTTATTGAATTCAGCGCATTTCAGGAAGTTTTCAAAATTTGACTTTTGTGGGGGCAAACATATGCAATATACCGCATATAGTTCTTTGCAAACCACTGCACATCAAGAATGATTACAACATCAAGTCGTTCTTGGTTGTAGTATAAAATTTCTCTGATGTCATGGAAAAACTGCAGCATAAAATTAATGTCATCAACCGTTTCGAGCTTTATACCTGTTGGCAATGCATCATTGAAAGCCAGCAGCATTTCTTTATTCATTATCCTCTGGGATTTCTTTTCCTGGAAGAATTTTTCAAACATGACCCATGAGAGTGGAAGTTTTTCTCCCCAGTGATTTAGATTTTGCACAACTTTAACGATAGAGAGCTTAATGTTCTCAATGCTTTCTTTGTCATGGAATCCAACTGCAAACTGTCTATCCTCATGGAGATGTCTGTGCAAGGTCTTGTCCTGCATTTCAAGAGTAGCCCATATTTCATGGAAAAAACTCATAATCTCCTGGAAATTAAGGTTTACTATTAAATCATTCTTTTTAGCATGTATATGAATACTAGTATTCAGAAATCACAACAATTAATGATAATAATATAGTGAAAACTCTCTGAATGTTTTTCCAGAATTCTCAAGTGTTTTATCTGTTGTTAATTAAGTTTTCCTATAAATAACAATCTGAGGAAACATTAAGTATCAGTCATACAAAGATTCGATCATGTATTTCGCTTCAAAAACCTCGATGACTTCAGACACATTGTGTGGTGTGCCACATGCATACAGGGAGATGTTCATCTCTGCAACATCAGAAGATAGGTTCCTCATTTTGTTTTATTTGTATTTAAAAGTTATAACTTTAAAATTTATATTTGCTCAGTAAATCCTATACGTTATATGTCGTTTTCAGATGTATACATGAAAGGGGGAAGGGGGTGCTGTCACTATCAAATGTATCCGCAGTACTGTAGTATTCTGTGCATTACAATAAACTATAAACTATGACCAGGTATTCAATTAATCAATAATTATTTAAATGTGAAAAAACTACAATATGCATTTATATGATTTTCATTATTTTTTATTCTTTATTATACAGTGATTAATGTTCTAAGTTGATCTACTAGAGTACTTAACAGGTTGAGACTAATCGTCCAAATGGGATATAAATTTACAGAGCAAAAAATGAAAAAAAAAATGCTTATTTCATCATTTGCCAGTTTGGGCCAGTTATATAAATTTTGTGATGTTGGTCGATATGTATTTAAAAAAATCAATTCTTTAAATGTCTTTCAATATGTCTTCATTTTTTTAATATGTGTTAGGTGAATGTGTAGGCATTGTTCTAAAATTTACTTGATGCCTAAAATTATATAATTCCTATCATAAAACAGACAGGGAGTATTAGGGAGTAGGGTGAACATTTTTTCTATTAAGTGTAAAATAATTTTACTGGCTGATACAAATGATACTTCATGCCTGTATATATTTGTATATTTTTGCCTTTTAATAGTTGAATTTTTTCTTTATTTCTTCATGTTATTGTTTATTTCTTCCTCAAATGGACTTAACTTCTCCCATACTTTTATTCATTACATCTGATGCATAAGCAACCCTTTTCTGAAGAATGATGCCTAGACTGTAAGCTATAACAGAGATCTAAACAATGTCGCTGACAATATGCAATAGCTACCACTGGCAGTTTAAATCCTGGGGGAGGAAAATAATTTACAGACAGATACTTTTGAAACTAATACATAATTATCTCACCAGGATGTCATTGTGCAACAAAGTCGTCAGCATTTTTATTTGTCCTTTGAACGGGTGAAACGTTTTGAATGGCACTCGGATCGATGAATTTTACACTAAACCAAGCTATCTTCTCAGATAGATATAGCATTATAATGATTATTTGCCTGCCGTTTTATCTTAAAACCGGAAGTGCGACTTTGTAAATTTGAAATCTCGATCCCAACTCAAATTTGACATCAGAAAGAAACACGATGTGTTTGTGAAACACTTTGCGCCCGGCGGCAACAAAGTTAAAAAAATCTATTTTTAGCATATTGGTCACAGTCAAGGGCATTGACCTTGGTGTCATTTGAAAGGACTTTATTAGTGGATTATGCATACCAAATATGAAGTCTTTATCTCTTATTGTTCAAAAGTTATGGCAAAAAGTGTAAAAAGCTATTTTTAGCATATAGGTCACACACAAGGTCACAAGATCATTGACCTTGGTGACATTTGAAAGCACTTTACTAGTGGAGTATGCATACCAAATATGAAGTCCCTATCTCCTATGGTTATAAAGTTATGACAAACAGTAGAAAAAGCTATTTTTAGCATATAGGTCACAGTCAAGGTCACAAGATCATTGACCTTGTCGTCGTTTGAAGGGACTTTATTAGAGAAGTATGCATACAAAATATGAAGTCTCTGTCTCTTACGGTTTAAAAGTTTTGTCGAAGGTTAAAGTTGACAACAGACAAACAGACAAACAGATAAACAGATAAACAGATAAACAGACAAACAGACAGGACAAAAACAATATGCGCCCCGAAAAAATTCGGGCGCATAAAAATTGTTTTATTTTTTCTGAAAATTCTAAACCTTGAGCAGAGGTTTTATAAAACTGAATATGAAATAATTCCTGGCCGTAAATATGTTATTAGATCATTAGCATATTAACCAGGAGCAAAAGATAAGATGTTCAAAGAATTCATGCATTTCACTATATAATCATTAGAGCCCCACCCTAAAACAAGAACCCTTGACCCTGGGGCCATAAAATTCACAATTTTGGTAGAGGCAATCTTGCTCATCATAACTATGTACTTACTTAGTTTATTTAATACCCAGAAGAAGAGAAGAAGATTTTCAAAGAAATAATGTATTTTCACTATATAATCAATAGAGCCCCGCCCTAACACCAGAACCCTTGACCCCGGGGCCATAAAATTCAAAATTTTGGTAGAGGCACTCATCATAACTATGTACTTAGTTGGTTTATTTAATACCTAAGAGCAGAGAAGAAGATTTTCAAAGAAATAATGCATTTTCACTACCTACTTATTAATCCCCGTCCTAGCACTAGAACCCCTTACCCCAGGGCCATGAATTTCACAAATTTGGTAGAGGACTCATTGCGGATTACAATCATCCAAACAGATTGACTGCTAAATGTCCAGGAGTAAAGAGGAAGATTTTTAAAGATTGCATTAATTTTAGTGGTTTTGGCCCCACCCCTCAGGCCCCAGGGGGACAGGGATCATGAAATTCAAAATTTTTGTTCCCCTTCACCCATAGGTGCTGTGTGCCAAATATGGTTGAAATTGGTTCAGTGGTTTCAGAGAAGAAGCTCAAAATATCCAAAAGTTAACACACGACGCACGACAGACGACGGACGAAAACAGATAGCAATAGGTCACCTGAGTTTACTCAGGTGACCTAAAAAGAAAAACACAGAGGGATTCTATATTAAGGTATGTAATTAGAATACAAGTGACAGTTGTCAAGGATTACCCTTAATTTATTTAGCAGTTTACTTGACAATTTTGGGACAAAAACTGTAATCTTTGGGTCTGAGAATTTCATATGTGAAGAATATGCAGGCTTTAATTAATTTGACCTCCTGGGGACCTTTCAAAATCCAGTCATTTATCTTTAAATGGAGATACCAGGAAATTTTTATAAATAATCTATCTATTAGATTATAAATATTGATCATTAAATAAAATTTAAATGCATAAATTTTCATGTTTTAGGAATTGACTGGAATTTCAGGAAAAGCAGATACCACATGTACCAGAAGGTGGCCTCTAGTCTTGACTGAGATTCTGGACTGAGATTGGTGAGAAAGAAGAATGTATGGTTTCCATACAAATTTTGCCCTGTTATTTTCTAAAAAATGAAAATGGTGTCAAAGTTGAAAAGTCATGCTTTTTAAATAATTGAAATTCAATGCAGAGAAATCATACAAGTCATTTTTCTTTCATGTGTTTTTAAATGCTAATTATGACGTCATAAACATGTGCATTTTCCCGTATTTTCTTAAAAAGATGTAGAAGATACCAATTTTCAATGGAATTTTCTTTCAGATAACATTGTCCACAGGCATCGCCCACAAAGATCTTGAGATATGTGATTTGTTATTGAATTTTGCACAAAATATCAAAAAATTAACGTGGGCAACGGCTGTGGACACTGTTTTCTAAAGGAAAATCACCCTTCAATTGTGCCATTTTGAGGTTTTTTCTGTTGAAAATAGAGAAATGCTTCACATAAATGACGTCATATTTGCAGAATGGTAAACCTTCATGCCATATTCTTTCCTCATTTATTAGAGTTATTTTTTTAACTAATATCTAAGCCAGTTTCAAAACTTTTTGATGTCATTACATTTTAGGGCGCAATAAAGCTAAAACCATACCTTCTTCTTCCACCATTATAGTAAACTTTACTCATTTACATCAGATTAGCCTTGGCAGTAAATTTTTATAAAATTCCTTCACTGACAAGATCTAATCAGACTTAAACTGTTGGAATAGCTTTTCAAAAAGCCTTTACAGAAAATCATATTTTTAGTAGCCATGACATTTTCATTCATCAAAATAGAGATCGAACTGTAGGAAAAGGAGCTTTTTGCAAGAATTTCACAAAAACTTTGAGTTATCACACCAACAAAATCGTTTTTCGAAACCAAAAACCATTATATAGAATGATGTATCTAAATCTACGTTTGTGCCAAGTTATATTGAAATCAGACCAAAACTGTGGGAGGACTAGCATTGAGTTTTCATATACATCTGTACAGAGAGTTGACAAACACCTTCAAGTTACTATCACACAAGGTCATTTGAACTCTGACCATAGGCTAGTAGCACAACAAAATATTTGTAAATGAAGAAAAAAAATACCTCTTCTGTTTTGTTCTCACTATGTGTACCAATGAGCAGAACAGGAGCCTTATCATTGCTGTATTGGTGAATGGATTTCATCCAGAATTCAATATAATCTGTGAATGAAATGAAGACAAAATCAAACAATTTGCTTATCACTATGTGTACACATAATACCGGTACATGTATTAGTCTTATAAGATCATAGAGAGATTTATTGATTGTATGTTGCTTTACATTTCAATTGGGAAATTTTCACTCATAAAAACAACAGATTATTATGACAAAATGACTCGAGGACTCCAACCTCTACAGCCAATCTAAATGTACTAAAATCTAATCATACCATAAAGTAATCTAAAATTTTAAATAATCTAATTTGTAAATAAATTAATGTTTCAATTAAAAAAAAATTCTGCTCCAGATATTGGATACATGAAATATATTCTTGACTTTCATTAACACCCTTCCCCGCAGTCACGCATTTGAACGCATATACCATTTCTTATTTCTAACGCAAAATCACGCATTTATCGTTTCCCCGCAATCACACATTTTCATGCACTTTAAAAAGTTCATTTAATCTGTAATCTATCGCCAAATTCCAACTATTTTATACTTGCTTGAGTCTCATAAATTAAGAAAAAATATTTTTTAATTGAAATATTATTTCAGAATATTATTTACGCTAAACTTTAGAGAAATTTGTACCCCGCTACAAAGTGCTTGCGGGGAAATGTTAAAGTAATATCTCTATAATGCGAGGATTCGATGTATGTTGCATAGCAATTCTGTAAGTTGTAAAGAGTTAAATTATGTAGGAAAATATTTAAATGATTTCTCTACATATATCAAAGTTTACTTTAAGTCAAACATTCAGAAAAGGAAGACTTCAATCAACAAAATTGCAAAATTATTGTCTCTGACATCGGAACCAAGGAGAGGCAAGGCCGGGGCTTAGCCCCCCCCCCCTTCCCAAACATACACTTTCATGGCAAAGATAAACAACATATAGGCATTGAAAAGTGGGGGTTACCTTTTTTGTTGGTTGACCCCCCCTCCCTCCAAACACAATTAAATACCCTCTTTAGTATGCTTCTGATGCCAATGTTTGAATTTAGCTTAAAAGTATTTTTAAGTTTTATTTAAATAAATTTTTCACAAATGGTAATATTTTGAAGAATAAAAATGGTTCCAGACATATTGACAAACAAAAATGGAGATAGATAAATTTTCCTCACACAAGCCCATCCAATTATATTTAATTGTTAGATACAAATTCACCCAATAAAGAGGCGACTATATATTAAACTGAACTTTCATAACAAAAATTATGAAAAAGTCCCATACTATCTTGATTTAAATCTGTAAATGAAATAAGTAGAGTTTTAAATCACATACTGCATGGCATATGCTGTAGAAACTATGCAACCAAACCCAACATTAGGCGATGATAACCAACCTCTGTGTGTCCACCTTTCATAAATGGAGCCTCCCTGACAACACACTTCTTCTCCAACCTTATCATCGAACTTCTTCTCCATATTCAGCACAAGAATGAAGAATGCCCGGGGACTCAGAAAAATCTGGTGTGAGGCATAATATGAACACTGTCCTGCAAAGTCAGTCATTGTAATTTTCTTATCTGAAATGTTTTTTGCATCAATCTGCAAATTTCCTGAAATTCCTGGATTATTTGGTCCAAGAATATCTCTATTTTCCTTCGTAACTTCTACTAAATTTGAAGCTGATATGGCACCTTGCGGTGGATAGGATGAGGTGGATTTAATGTCGGTATCATCTTGTGATATCTGTCCACTGTTTGATACTTTAATCGCATGGCCCTCATCATCAACTGGTTCCATTTTCCCCTGCGTTTTTGCATCATCAGCTGCATTTTCCGAATGAGGTTCAGGAACACTCAGTGGCATATCTTTTTTATCAAGTTTAAGTTTAAAGCGTTGTTGTTGGCTTGAAGAATTTGCTGTAAATAAAAATGAATACATTTTAAAGGCCTTCTCACTTTGTTGTCCCTGCAAATAGACCTCTAGTCTACATTAATTAAATATGCAACTAAAAATATAATGTAGATGTATTATGAGCACTGAACTCAAATAATGATATCCACAGATATCATATGAGTATGATCCATGTTTATTCAAGAAATAAGATATCATTTTTATCATTAAATGATAAGGAATTATATTATATTTTCATATCCACTGCACTCTCCCACTATGAACATGTAGTCATCAATTGCATTCATAGCACTATAGACGAAATTGCTTTTACTATGAGTGCAATTGCTCTATCACACACGTGTAGAACAATCTCTACTACACTTATACACCGTGTTGAGAAGTATATATATGAAATGTTTCATAAGAGGAATAAAAATAAGTTCTTAATAATATTCTTTGAAAAAAAGGAAATTCAGAATATTTAAAATTGCTGATTTATATCTTTAAAATTTCAATTTTGGTCAATGTATTTAATTGTAAAATAAAACTTTTTAAAAATTGTAGAAAACAGCCATATTTTTATTTTTTGTATCATGCGTATTTGAACAAAGAACGATAACTCTTCACACTTGGGTAATAACATTCAGAAAGGAAAAAAATCTTTAACTAGTATATTTCAAGAATGATTTCGGCTTTTAAAAATAAATAGAAACACTAAAAAAATTATAGTAAAGCATTCTGGAATAATAATCATTATAAAAGCATTCTCTTTTTTCATCATAGTGTGAAATTATTGATTTTCGTCAGAGGGTTTTAATAACGTTGATCGATGACGTCACAACTGCAACAAAACAAAAATGTGATGACGGCGCTGCTTGTATCCAGATAACTGTGTTTGAAAGGGAAATACTTTATAAATATGTTTGTGATTTATTAGGGAAAAGGAGCATTAATCAGGTTTACTGGTTTTAAATCTGTATGTTTTTCTTTACTGAAGACAAGAAGCTGCGTCCTTATGTAAGTCAGGATTTCCTCTGATATTCTTGAAAAAAAATCAAAGAATGCAAATATAAGTAATAAACAACGCGCATCATGGAATATGCCAGCAGAGCAATTGCTATTCATAACGCCATGTTCACTGAATAACGTTGTTTATTTCTTAAATGATATGAAGTCGGTCATGTGATCAAATGTTCGGGCATTATAGTAGATTTGATCACGTACCGACTTCATGTCATAACCCAATGAAACTCTAAACAAGAGGCCTTCAAGGCCTTATAGGTCACCTGAGTATCATGTATTCTAACAACTTTCCAACAATTTTATTTGGTTCGTGTTTGATACCAGTGGCCATGAAATTCACAATTTTGAAAGAGGCACCATTGCTTATCATAATTATACACATAGCATGCATACTCTAATTACTTAATATCCAAAGGTAGATCAGTAACAGAGAGAAAATGCACTTTCACTTTATAAACAGTTGTGCACTCCACATCACAGGAACCACTGACACTGGGTCCTCATATTCCAAAATTTTAGAAATTTTATCAGTTTAGCGCATGCGCGTAATTGACAACACCGCCTTACCTGAGCTCCACCTCGATATCTTTATTTCGAGATTCTAGACCTGTTTGGTAACAATATCCTTTTGCACATTACTCAGAAGCTTTCATTGCACTTAGCAAAATTCTTAAAATTGCAGTTAACAGAAGGTAAATGGGATTTCCAAAATTCTTTCCACTGTAACAAAGGGGGTTGTTTACTTCCGGAACTTCAGGATCGAAAGTGAAAGTAACATGATCAGCTGGTCACATCCGATGTTCATTATTTGTATGGTGCTCCTTGTTAGAAGAGCTGTAAAAACGGGAGAAATTGTAACAACATGTGATGTATTACAAAATGAGAACAACTTAACGTCCTTGTTTATCATAGACCTAACTTTACCACGACATGGTCAGAGGAAACCTGGCATGATTAAAGACAAACTTATACTGCTCTACTTGTGCAGCCTACTTCTGTCACAATCATATGCCCCTGAGCCAAATCCTGGTCCAAGGCAAGTCAAATTTCCGTGTGGAATTTGTTCTAAAGCTTGTACGTGGTCATCAAAAGCACCTAGTGTCTGCTGTGATTCGTGTGATGTTTGGTTCCATAAACAATGTCTAGGTATGAGCGATGTCATATTCAGTACACTAAGAAATGTTACTTGGGAATGCATGCAGTGCGGCCTACCAAATTTCTCAACAACCCTATTTAATTCTACAATTAATCATAGCCAAAATTCGTTCAGCACCCTCAGTTCCGTGGTGGATGACAACAGTTTTGGATCTCCTACAGCCACGTCATCCCCCAAACAGACACCTCGACTTCCAGACAGATCAAACAGAGATGATCTCCCTATGCGGATACTGGTCTTGAATTGCCAGTCTGTTAGGGGTGGATCCAAAAAAGGTCAATTGCTGAATATACTGGAATCATCTCAAGCAGACATTACACTTGGCACAGAATCATGGCTAGACAGCGGAATAAAGTCTGAAGAGGTATTTCCGGACAACTTCAAACACTACCGGAAAGACAGATCAGATGGTAAACGGGGTGGTGGTGTATTCATTCTTGTGGCAGATAAGTATATCAGCAGTATGCCGGAGAAACTGAAAGTGGAAGGAGCTCATGAACTTCTCTGGGTCAAGGTCAAAGTGAAAAGTGTCCCAGACCTATATGTTGGCTCATTCTACCGCCCTCCAACTGCCGCAGATAGTGGATACTTGGAGGTCCTCCGCCAGTCCCTGACCCGCATTCCTAGTAGTGCCCACATATGGTTAGGTGGTGACTTCAACCTACCGGATATGGACTGGTCAACAGATAGCCCACAGCCTAGTGGATCAAACATCACTCTGTGCAACCAACTGATCACTATAGCCAGTGACTTTTCCCTTAATCAGATGGTGCACAAACCAACTCGAACGACAGAGACCACATCAAACATATTGGACTTATTCTTCACGAATAACCACACTCTGATCAACAAGTGTGATGTGATACCTGGCATCTCGGAACACGAAGCAGTGTACGTGGAATCCAGCTTGCGCGCAGTACGACCAAAGAGACCTCCCAGGAAAGTCTTCATGTACAGCAAGGCAGATCTAGAAAATTTAGGCATGATCTACATACCTTCTACAGTACATATACCAAGGCCATATCAGAGTTGTCAGTAGATAGCTGTTGGGAACTCTTCAAGGACACCCTTCTAGGTGCAATGGAAAAGCACATCCCATCAAAGCTGATGTCAGGAAACAAGGTTCACAAGCCATGGATCACGAAAGAGGTAAAACGCAAGATGCGTAAGCGAAACAAGCTTTTTCCAAACAGAAATTGAAGAAATCAAGTAAGATCAGAGATAAATACCTACAGGCGAAATCTGAAGTACAAACAGCTGTAAGGAAAGCATACTGGGACTATGTGAACAACATTATTGAAGTTGGCAACGCAGAGTCTGATATGCAGCCAAATAAACAAAAACGCTTCTGGATGTTTGTAAATGCCATGAGGAAGGACTGCAATGGAGTGTCACCACTAAAGGACAGAGGAGTACTACATTCTGAGGCAAAAGACAAGGCGGATATTCTGAATCGCCAGTACGAGTCTGTATTTACTAGAGAGGATACCCAGAATATCCCCATGCCTCATGGTACACCATCCCCACAAATGCCTGACATTAAGATCTCAGAGGAAGGAGTATGCAAGCTACTGAGGAAGCTCAATCCTAACAAAGCCTCAGGACCTGATTCTATACCAGCCAGAGTTCTGAAGGACATGTCAGCTGAGATTGCTCCACTCCTCACTCAACTGTTCTGTAAAAGCTTGTCTGAGGGCATCGTACCAAATGACTGGAGAAAGGCAAATGTAACAGCTATTTTCAAAAAAGGTGAGAGATACAAAGCCTCAAATTACCGGCCAGTTTCCTTAACATGCATATGCTGCAAGCTGTTAGAGCACATATTGGTCAGTAACATCATGAACCACATGGATAGGTACAGCATATTATCAGATGTGCAGCATGGCTTCCGGGCACAAAGGAGCTGTGAGACCCAACTATTCACATTATTTGATGACCTGGCAAGAGCATGGGACAAAGGTATCCAACATGATATGGTTGTATTATACTTTAGCAAGCCCTTTGACCGCGTCCCACATGAGAGACTTCTCATGAAGCTTCACCACAGTGGAATCCGCGGTAACACTCATGTATGGATCCGCTCTTTCTTGACTGGGAGATCCCAGCAAGTGGTGGTGGAAGGAGCCACATCAGAGCCCGCACCTGTCATCAGCGGAGTCCCACAAGGGAGTGTGCTTGGGCCTGTGCTCTTCCCTCATCTTCATCAATGACCTGCCATCTTGTGTCAATAGCCATGTGAGATTATTTGCTGATGACTGTGTCCTTTATCGCCATATACACAGTCGGGAGGACTGCGAACAACTCCAACAAGACCTACATCACCTAGAGGAGTGGGAGAAAACATGGGGAATGGATTTCCATCCAGACAAGTGTAACACCATGGTGTTCACCAGATCCCGCAACCCGCAGCTCTACAGCTACTCACTGAAAGGTCAGAAGTTGGAGAATGTAGAGACCACCAAGTACTTGGGGGTATGGATAACTACCAACTTGTCATGGAGGGTCCATATTGATAAGACAGTTAAGAAGGCGAACTCTACTCTTGGCTTCTTACGTAGGAACCTCCATATCACCAATGAGAAGACCAAGACAGAGGCATATATGGCACTAGTTCGGCCCACATTGGAGTACTGTGCCTCAGTATGGAATCCCCACACAAAGGATCACATCCATCGACTTGAAATGGTCCAGAGAACTGCTAGGTACGTCACAAATAGATACAGGAATACCAGCAGTGTTACAGACATGCTAGACAGTCTTCAGTGGGAATCCTTAGAGAGTCGTAGGACCAAGGCACAGCTCGCCATGTTTTATAAGGCATGGAAAGGCCTGGTAGATATCCCGCTATCTCAGTATGTCACTCCATCGTCAAGTCGAACCAGATCCACCCATTCCTACAGATTCCAGCATCATCAGTGCAGAACGAACATCTATAAGTTCTGTTTCTTCCCCAGGACTATCATAACCTGGAACACTTTACCAGCATCTGTTGCTGAGGCCCCTGACTTGGTACACTTCAAGCAGGGGCTTTCATCACTTTCCTTCTAGATGGCTCAGGGAGCAAGTAAGCTCTAGTGAAGTCAGTAGGCAATGCCGGGGAGACATCTACTAGTAAGTCTCAGGGCCGCTACGGTTACCGGACTGGCTGCTGACAGAAGAGCTGAAAACTTCCCTTTTTTTTACTTTTTAACCGTTTTTACATTTTAATCTTTCTAACAATGTTATCAAATGGCTGATAA